TTGATGCTGGTTTAACTAATAGGGGCACTTAGGTTGAGTCTGCTACTATTTCATCCATTAGACACTCATACAAAATGCCGAACCCCTAAATAGATTACTATATAGGGGATAGGGCGGATGTTGGGACGCAGCCTTAGATTCTCCTGGAACTACTATTTTAAAAGAAAGTGGTCAAGACAATCACTAACAGCGATGGCAGATTTACTCCACACTTCAGAAGGAAAATCCCTACAGCTGATATCAGCCAACATACCTGAGCGGCAGCTGAGTTAAAGGCTTAGATAACGTATCTAGTAACAGGACAAGCCTTTAAAGTCTCACTTAAGGCTGATGTGTCACTTGTAGATTTCCCAACACAGAATCAGACACGGCTAATTCAGACTGACGGCTTTTAGATAACACCAACAGACGGCTCAGTGCGTTGACCCTTCCCATCAAAAACCTATCGATCCCTCAAAGGTCTGAGAATCACCATCATTATCAATAAGTCGGGTTTCTTTCTCAGGTTCAGGGCATATCAAAGAAAAGCTGCTATGTTAACTACATAAACAATTACTCCCTGTCAGGTGGATCAAAACCAAACCGTGCAGCACTTTCTACCTTAGTTTCGCTTGGTTTCTTTACTCTCACTGCTACTGCTGTTTTTCTCTCTTTGGACAGTTGATACTAAGCTATCTTGGCAGATCAATAGTCGTTAAGCACAGGTGAGGCAAGCCGGAGTCTTAACTCTATCTGAAGGATGGGTGTAACCTTCGGGCTTAAAAACCTAGAGCCAATGTTGATGGCTCTAAAACATGCCTCATTTAGAATAGATTAGAAAAGACAACATATCTTTAGAAAGGTCTGGGAGCTTTTAAGGGGAGAGTTGGCCGAGTGGTTAGAGCAGTGCACTTGTGCTCTGAGAAGGTTGCAAGTACCTGTTTTGAACACTTAACCCCACACTGCTACCCCAGCGCCCAACAATGGCAGCCCATTGCTCCCTAAGGGTTAAATATAGAAACTGAATTTCCCCATTGTAGGACAATAAAAGGATATACTTACCTACTGAGTTTTCCCTGATATGAGGTATACAATGATTATGAAAGCTCTCGTAAAAACATTACAAAGCCATTTTGGATTTGTTGCCTGCCTTATGGTTTATATATTTTGCCTTTTCCATTTTAGACACTGTAAGCTGTTATTAGTGAGGGGTTAACCCTTTATAAAAGTTTTTTTTGTTTGTTTGTTTAAGAAAAAAGCTGATTTTGCTAAATTATGGGTAAAACAAACAGCCTATGGTTGTCTTGTTTCAAGAGAGTAACCTTTCTAACCAACATCTAAAGCTCTAAAGGTTTATCTCATTAATTTTCTGATATTGTACTCCTCTTTGTAACACAATAACCACAGCATAGCTATTTCACTGTCATAAAAGTAATTACTGTAACAGATAGACTACTGTTTTATTTACAGACGCGGCAGTAGTTCACTTTCCATGTTTCCTTTATTAGAAAAACATCAGTTTTAAACGCGATAGTCAATACTCTTAATAATTTGTGCAAATAACACTGTTTACTTCTCACTGCTACGTTTCTGAGAGAACATCTCATAATCATAACATCTAATCTTGTTATGACGTTTTCATGTTTGACAGAAGAATTATGATGCAACACTGATTATTTTTTGTTTACAACTGCTCTTATTAGGTTGCAATAAGTTTGCTTTTTCACTTTAAATTGTATCCGCTGGACACTTAATCGACCTGAAATGGGATTGAGTTGTTTTGGGGGTTCTTTGGTGGTGATGTTCATAGGACACGCACATTTAGACACAAAGATAAAGGCTGTGTTTTATTTTCTTGCTATATTTGAGCCTCTCTACTTGCAGAAAGCTGGGTTACGAAGCACCTCTGTCTTTAACTGGACACGATGACACATTACCATAATCCCCAGGCAACTTTTGAGCCTTTTTTGATATCTTGATGTAAGACGCTCTCTGCCGGTACCCCGCCCACCCGGCTGAAAGATGAGGTAGATAATTTTGCCCTGTTGTGTGAAATCTATGATGTGAAAAGATTTAATTAAGATAGGCCAAGGAGTCGTAATTAATTTTGCCTCTTTTGCGTGTCGGGCTTACTGTCAAGAACACACGGAGAGATTTTGACAGAATAAATTGCTGGGATGCTGTGCCTGAATGTTTTCAGCCAATCTGAGGGAGGTAACGAGAGTGATGGACTTGGTTTCTGTATTCTCCCAGGGGTTTTGTTGGTTCTCGGTAATGTTTTTCAAAGTGCAAGTGAGCCCACTGGCACTTTTTTTTTCTTCTTTCACAGGCATCCCACCATCTAAGATCAAATCACATTTCAGTCAGGGAGTTTATTTTGACTGTCAGTGAGGAGCGTCCTCTGGAGAGACCTGTCAGGGACAAATGTGAAATTGAAAGCTTCCTAGCAAATGGGTTCTTGCTGGGCAAGTGGTGCTGAAGATGGTGACAGTCACAAGAGACCTCTGAACTATCTAAGGCCTCACTCCTCTATTACACCTTTTTTTTCTTTCCAGTCTCTGGCCTATATTGAATCCTGATTGGCCTTTGTTTAGTCACTCACCTCGGGCTGAAATTGGATGAAATGAAAGCCCTTCCTCCAGGGAGCCATCTTCAGTGACTCTCCTTTCCAACTGAAGGCTCTGAGACAGAGAGGTAAATCTATTTCGTTCAATTACAACTATTTTTGGCTGATATCACCAACCCGTCTTGAGCTTGACATTAACCTGTAATGGATGGCTTTCACGGCTTTACTCTTGCCCCACGCCCTTGACCGGCGGAGAAGTGCCGTCGTGTTTTTCTAAATCCGGACATTAACAGCTTGAGGCGAAAGCCTCATTTATCAGGCATTTCTCTCAGCCAAGCCCCATTTCCGAAGTCCAATATTAATCCCTCAAGCTGCAAATTGTATGAGCTTTCCAGCTTTGGCTAAACACGTAACAACTGTCTTATTATCAGGAGACGACAGGCAATAATGACTATGGCCTAAGCTAAGCAAATGCTCCTTTGAGCTTTCAAAGAAAGCAGCTAATTAAAGGCTGCTTTATGACTTTTGTCACTTTTTTGACTGGTGATTATAGGCCATTCATTGGGGAAGATTCGTCAGCTATTTGTGGGTGGCACGCTGCAAACATATCATCAAAGGCGCTTTGCTTTATGTTGTGCCAAACCTGCATATTTTCCCAGCAAGTCCCCCCAGATGCTTTCCTCTCTCGGTTTGCAGAACAAATTTCTCAACTTTCTCGGCTAATAAGGACATCTCATCATCGTCTTTTTTTAAGCAACAAACTAGGCTGTTGAAAGATGCAGGCTCCATGGTGTTTTGTCTGTGATTTCCTGTAATTAAGTACTCCAGAGTGGAGCGTCCTTGGCTCTAAGGACAAGTTCAATGGAACAAGCTCTGTGCTCTTTAAAGCCAATTTGAATAATGGCTTTACTACATTACCACTCCGCTTGTCTCAAGCATCTTCCCAATAACCCATCCACTACCTCTAAAACTATACATTAAAATAAAAAAATAAGTGGAAAAGTGACCCACTGCCATATTTGGGCCAACTCTAATTGTCTCACTAATCTCTTCAGCGTTAAATGACCCAGAGAAACTGGGTCCCACAGGGCAGGCTTATCCCGCTGATTGGAGACTTTGCTTTTTGTTTTCCTTGGCATATTAAAACAGCGTAGGCTGCTGGTGGAAAGCCTACAGAACAATTGGAAATGTAATTAAGTGCCAGGAGCAGCTTTTAAACGGTTGACTAGTGCAGAAACAAACTGTGCCCTTCAGCCAGCAAAAAAGTTTAATACATGGGAAATGAGTGGTCCAATCAATAGGCTGGGCCTCATTTCTTTTGTACGAGGAAAATTCAATGGAAGGCAGGAGAAAGCTCTATGTTTAAAAAAGGACAGTGCGTTTTAGGGCAATATTTGCTTCAAAAAGAGACCCAGAGAGCTCTCTCTGTGAGGTATAATCAACTATCAAGACAATTGCATCTGTCATTAAAAGCAAAAGGAATAAATGGACGGTTTGGTGCTGGAGTTCTTTGCGATGGGTTGTAAAATGAAAAGCATCAGACGTTGTCATAACTCTTAGGCTGAGGTGAGCTCCAATCAGGCAAAAGTATCTGCTGAGTCCTAACAACCCCTCAATCATTTCATATCGACGCTGACCAATTATCCCAAGCAGACAATTACGGCCGTCATCAACGATTTCTAATCGGATTCGTTTTAAGGCAGTGTCTTTCACTTTTTCACTTTCACCCAAACGTTTTCTTCGTACGGCCTCGAAGCAGAGCGATCGACTGCTCAATTATTAGAAACAGATTCACAGAGTCCACACTGTGATCTTTTGTCCAAGCATCACTGGGTTTGGGATTATTAAAGGCATTTGCTCCACATGTTTTCTCTCTCAACACACCTCGAAGGAACACCTTCCGAACTAGTAGGAGGCCTTCCCTGGAACTATAAAGCGCCATCTCAATGTGTTACTACTGATAAATATTCATGATAGCAGCTTGAAAACCAGCTGTTTTCCTCCAATTAAAGCTCTCCCAGAATTTTTTTGTTGTTGTTTTTTTAAAGACGCTGTTGCTTTTTGTTGAATTAATAGCTCATGTTTCTGGACCAGAACAAAACTGAAACAATAATGCACCGTAGCAAAAGATTTATATCCGTCGCCTGGGAAGAAAACATACGGATAAGAAGGTGAGGTAATGGTTCTGCTTCCTGCCCTCGGCCAACGATTTCCTAAGCTGCATGAGGAAACATTGGGATATTCACAGAGAAACGAAAAGGTGCATTATCCGATTAGAGTCTATCAGAAAGCCCTGAATGCAGACACCGAACATCATCCCAACTAGCTGTGCCAAGAAGATCAAATCAAGTCATCAAAAGATCCTGCACACATCAAAGGGGCCTGAGCAGAAGCTGCCGTGCGGCTGCCTTACGGACGGCGCGGAAACAAAAAGCAGGGCGGCTAAATCTGCCAAGGAGCACCGTCAGCTGCCCACTTCAAAGGCAGGGATCTGCTGTCCGAGGTCGTTGCTCGAAATGCAAAACCTAAAGAACCCGACGGGTGTCAAACGGGAGCGGAGGTAAAAAACCATAGAGGACTTACCATCGGGAGGCTGGGCCGGAGTGAAGTGAGATGGTTTGTCTGAAAGAGATAAAAAGGACAAAGAAGTAGTTTAGTTTGGGGAAGATTCTGGAGCTTCCCATGGGATAAAGGCAAGTAATTGAGTTGCTTTAAAAAACAATAAAGAAAAAATAAAATGAACACATTCTGACTTTATTTTTTTCAATCCAAACAGTGTGACTGAGCCCTGCAGGGATCAAACTGAGCTAATCGGACAGGAGTGCATTTCAGCGATATCAGCTTCATCGCCATGTTGTGACATTCGTTTCTTCTACGCTCTAATCATTCCCAACCATACGGCATGACTTCGGATAGAGCAAGAGCACAAGGAGGATTTGAGAACAGAGGGATTTATCTTTTTATGTTGTTTTGCGTCAAAAAGCATGAGATATGCTCACAACAATGAGGAAAGAGACATTTAGCCCCTGCCCTCCCACCTGCAGCCACGTGTGGAATAAATCTGAAACTTTTCCCCCCAGTCAAACATGACATCATGCTGCTCTCCTGGTGTGTGAACCGGCAGACAATGTCATTGCGTGGGAGTGGTAAAAAACAGGACCTGTAGTGTCAAATGGCTGAGAAACACTCAGCTGGAAGGCCTCATGTAACCCGAGTCCTTCGCAGCTTCAACACCTTGGCCACTTTAGGCGCCAGAAAATGAGGCGATCTTTATGCTTTTTTCACCACATGGGATGGAAATAAATCAGGGGAATGAGCAAATGACAAAATGGAGTAAAAACAGAAAACATCCGCTTCTTCACTGCTGCTACGCTGAATGATTATTTTTTAATTATAGCGTCAAATGTATAGGAAAAAAAGCGATTTCCCAGAACCCTCGGAAATGTTGTATTCCCCTACAATCTGAATAACTAAAGTGTGTAATTTCTGATATTAGGCAGCCAATATTCTCATTTGAGAGGCAGGAACGGTTCGCTCGTTAGATAATGGTATATTCAAATTACAGCAGATTAAAATGCGCTGGATGGAATAACTGATTAAAAAACTCATAATTTTAGCTGAGGGAAGGGAACATCAAGCGCGACAAATACATGTGCACAAGTTATAGATAGAAAGCATGACAGCAACATCATCAGAGGAAACTGTGCGAGACGTTATTTCAACACAGTTATAAATCGATGTAGGGATGTAAAAAAAAAAAGAGCTAAAAGCAAATAAAGGATGAGTTCAGTGAATAAGAAGGCAGGTTTTTTTTTATTTTTGTTTGTGGCTCTATCAGCTTTTATTTAATAGTTCTGCAGATGGGAAAGGATGCACAGAGGGCTGCCTCCTTGACCAGGGGTCGCCACAGCAACTCATTACTTAGGATGTACAGATAGAAAGGCATAAAGTCAGAACTCTGCCAAGAGTGCACACACATAATAAATACTCATGGTAGCAGTTTTATTTACAACACCCACACACACACACTACAGTCCATGTGTATTGTGGTTATTTTATGCGTGTAGATTTAATACCATGAGGCCCCCAATATGTCAAAAGCCTGACTTCATGCTCCCTCTCTGCACTCTCTTGCTTTTTATGCACCTGTAGCCTCTCTCGTACTCTTCTGTGGACTTGTTTCTGTGTAATTATCTCAACTTTGGTTGTGTGGAATCAACCTGAGATAGTAAATTGCCTTTGATTGGCTCATATTTTCAGGAAATCCCGCCCCTACCATTTTCTTACGGCTGGTAACGTTCACGAAGCATCTTCAGTCTAATCTTTGAGAGCAGAAGTATGACTCTAGAGGAAAAAGCCAATCTCTGTCATCAAGTCAAAAATCTTTAAACAAAATAACTGACAGAAAAAGAAAAATGCTCAAAAGTAATTACAAACTGATTAGATTCAGCTTTAACATCATGTTCCCCAATATAAACAAAAGTTTTGGGTTTGAAAATAAAGGGAGATTTTATGTCATCCGTAGCGAATAGCCCAGTCAAGCTGGGCGGCAGTGGCATCGGATGAAGGAGTTTGACCTGCAACCGGAAGGTTGTCGGTTCAAGTCCAAGCTCTGGCTTTCAGTATCATTGTGTCCTTGGGCAAAACACTTCACCCGCATTCCCTACTGATGGTGGTCAGAGGGACTGGTGGTGCCAAGGTACGGCAGCCTCACTTCTGTCAGCGAGCCCTAGGGCAGCTGTGGCTACAGTGTAGCGTGCCACCATCAGTGTGAGTGAATGAAAAATGACTGAATGTAGTTTAAACTGCTTTGGTCAATCCTCTGACTTGAAAAAGCGCTACATATGTACAGGCCATTTACCAAGCTCAAGTATCTGTTGTATTTTAAGAGAAAATAAGCACTTTTCAGCAATTTGGTGATCAGATTTTGACTCAAGATGGTTCCATTTTAGGAGGCAGAAGATTTTTATATATATAGTATATATAATTTTATCATAAGAGAAATTTATGGGAGTCGACTAATATGGGAGGAAGTATGGAAAGAGGTAAAATGCTGACTTGACAGCTATGAAATTTTTTTTCATACCATAGGGATGCGGTCCCCAACCACCGGGTCGGTCATTTGGTACCGGGCCGCACAGAAAAAAGTATATATATATATATATATATATATATATATATATATATATATATATATATATATATATATATATATATATATAATCGACAATCAGAGTCTGAGTGATGTTTTATTTTGAAAAATATAAAAAATTACGGTATTCTCTCCCAATTACATCAGTCGGTGCATCTGTGCCTCTTGACACAGGTTAATTCAGTTCAAGACTCATCCTATCTATAACATCCAATCTTTGTAAAGTGGGATTTTCTGCGGTTACAGCGACCAAAACAAAGCTACGGAGCAGACTGGACATCAGGAGCACACTTTGTGTGTCATTGTCTCCGATTACGCCTAGATGGGACCGGCTTGTTGTTTTATTTTTATGCTGTTTGTATTTGATTTTATGTCAGTCGTATCATTTTACTTGATCGTAAAATGATACCCCCCCACCACCCCGGCCGGTCCACGAAAATATTGTCTGATATATAGCGGTCCGTGGTGCAAAAAAGGTTGGGGACCGCTGCCATAGGGCCTACTTCAAATCCTGAAATTCCCTTTTAACAACTTAAGTGGGTGTAGCTACCTGGTCGGCCACATAACAGGACCCCTTAACTATTTCCTGAAAATATGGTATTTTTTCTGTATTTATGGTTCCATATACAAAGGGGATAAATGAAGCAACAAAGGGATATTTGTGGTTTATTTCATGTAATTAGCTATTTCTACCGATAGGGAACACTAAGATAAATGTTTTAAAATTAATTTAGCTGTTTTTATCTTCTCCTTTATCTACTAGCCAGCTGATTATTGTTCCTTATGAGGATGGAGTGAAAACTTTCTATCCCAGAGTGGAAAAATGTGTTTTAACTGAACCAAAAACTGTCCTAGCATGAACATGCAGCCGGTCCAGGCGAACATGGGAAGGTATTTTAAGGCTCTTAGTTCCCCTGGTTAAGTCAGACGCTGACAGCAACCCAACAATAAAGAGCAAGACAAACGTCACACTGCTGAATGACTCTAGAGCTTTTACATTATGAGATGTCATACAACCCCAAAGTGATGTACAGGAAAATATCCATTCAACTTCTCTGCCCTGAAATGCAAAGAGTTTTTGACAAACAGATTCATTTTCATGGAGATTCCAGCAGAAGCCACCACCATACAGCACACCGGTTTGGAGCGAACCAGGGAGCCAGAGCGCCAAGCACGACCCAGCTGAACCGCCATCTGCACCCTGGCAGTCCATCCGGCCATGTGAGTCACTGAGCAAAGCCCCGGCGAGTTGTCAGAGCTGCCTGCGCTGAACAAACACACCAACACACACGTACGTGTAACAAAGGTTGGACAACCACCCAGACGCCTCTTCCATGTTTTCACACTGTGTGAGGGATAATGAGGAAGATGCAACACATCACTTCAATTACATCGGTGTAACTTTCTTTTTTTTTTATTCTCTCCCTTAGGGCCTCCACAGCTACACACCCCGACTTCCATCAAGAGCAGAGCTGCAACCTTTTCCTGGGACTTCTGTGCTACCCCACCTTCAGGCGAGACACAGCTGAGTTTTAAATTTGGGTTTGCTTAAAATTGCTTGTCAACAGTCGGGTGTTTGTGAGAGAGGAAGAGAGAGAGAGCGAGGAAAGGGGGGGGGATGAAGATACGGGAGCACAGAGGCAAGGTTGGTGCTAGAGGTGAATAATGAATTGTCCGCTGAAGCTGTTTCGCAGTCAATCATGACGGTAACCGATTTCCATCTAGAGGGGGTAGGTTCAAGAACACATAAGGAATGACGGGGTAGAAGGAAAACGCAGCGAGGACGGATAAAAGAGCATCGACAGGCTGTACTTCCCTCTCTGGCTTTTGTTAGCATGTCTAAATATTCACAAACAAAACAGAGACAGATAGAGCCATGCTGCCAGGTGAAGTGAATTTCTTCACATTTCCATAAAGAAAGGACGAGATAAGGTCTTTCCATAAACATATCAGCCACTTCCATCTCCCTTCTACACCTGGCAAAGCCTGCGTGAGTTCCCGGGGCCCGTGTGAATGTCACAACACGGCCATCATTCATCCTATATCTCCTGCAAATCAATAAGTGTCTGGCTATGACATTTACCCACGTGCAGGAAGAGTTGTGTGTGCGTTTTTGGTCTTTTTGCATGTGTGCCGCCTTCCCCTTTGCTGCGGCTGATGTACGGTTTGAGCAAAATGATGAAGTGAGGATGTCTAAGAGGCAGCAGACAACTTTGAGAGGGGGAGGGGATACAAACTGTCTACGTATGTATGGACATGTCTCATCCCATATGTTGACGACAGAATTTGCCAATGTGAGGTTGCATGACACTTTTAACACCCTTCCACAGATCTCTGCTGCCGGCACTACCACGACGCAGCTGTCCTCGCCGCAACATGCAAAGGGCTTTTGGCAGAATAATAGAGCTCACTTTAGCTCATCAATTTGTCCAGCAGACTTTTTTTCTTTTTCTGCTCTAACATATGAGAC